CCCCAGCCTGAAACCCAAGGCTCCCTGCCATAGGAGTAGAAGTCAGATCAAGGCAGAGCATGAAAATGAGGAATCAAGAAAGGAGGGGCAAGAAAAAACCTTGTCAGGAAATCATGGACCATTGGGCTGGGGTTCCTGAGGCCCAGCCCCTCCTGCACATTGTTCATATGTGGAAACTGAGGGCCAGAGAACAGAGAGGCTTGCTCTAAGTCTCATGGCACTCGTTACTCTCTATCTTGTATCCTAATTGGAAACCCTGGTGGCGTAGTGATTAAGAGCTACAGCTGCTAACCAAAAGGTCAGCGGTTGGAATCCACCAGGTGCTCCTTGGAAACTCTATGGAGCAGTTCTATCCTGTCCTACAGGGTCACTATGTGTCGGAGTCAGCTTGATGACTACGGGTTTGGGTTTTTGTATCCTAATTAGTAGCATTTTAATTATTCTACTCTTACAAAGATGGATCTGGCAGGACCTGAGTATTATTCATCCCACAGCACTTAGCAAAGTGCCTGGCATATAAAAGATGCTTGATAAGTAATTATTAGATGCATAGGTTGTTGGGAGATGAATGGAATGTTTGGTAGGTGGAGGGAAGGATAGTTGGAAAAGTAGATGAATAACTAATTAGATGTGTGTAAGTTAGTGGATATGTGGATGGTTAGTGGTAATAAAGGATGAATGAGTGGGTAGAAGATGTATGTTTGGATAGATGGATGAATGGATGGAGGGAAGGAGTCATACTTTGGAACTTTTTTTCCTTCACCACCACCATCCAAATTAGCAAATCGTATTAGCTCTATAGGGAGCCCTCGTGGCGCAGTGGTTAAGAGCTCAGCTCCTAGCCAAAAGGTTGGCAGTTTGAATCCACCAGCTGCTCTTTGGAAACCCTATAGGGCAGTAGTACTCTGTCCTATAGGGTTGCTATGAGTCAGAATTGACTTGAGGACAATGGGTTTATTAGCTTTATAGATCCCTGGCAGTGCAGTGGTTAAGAACTTGGCTGCTAACCTAAAGGTCAGCAGTTCGAACCCACTAGCCACTCCTTGGAAACCCTATGGGGCAGTTCTACTCTGTCCTATAGGGTTGCTATGAGTTGGAATCGACTCGATGGCAATGGGTTTTATTAGCTCTATCCTTAAAATCTATCCTGAATCTGTCCACTTCTTTCTGTCTCTGCTGCCACCACCCTTATTCAAGCCACCATCATTTGCCTGGATTATTCCAATAGCTTTCTAATCGTTCTTCCTGCTCCTGTTCTTGCCTCCTTTCCATCTATTCTCCACACAGCAGCCAGAGTGATCTTTTAAAAAGACTACTTGCATCATGCCATTTCCATGCTCAAAACCCTCCAATGGCTTCCTGTTGTGTAGAGGATAAAATCCAAACTCCCAGCATGGCCTTCAAGCCCTGTGTGATCTGGCCCAGGCCAACCTCTGGCTTCATGTTATCACCCCTCTCCCTCTGCTGGCCAGCCACTCTGGTCCTCCATTGAGGTCCCTGCTTTTGTACTTGCTCTTCTCTCCAACTAGAACACCCTTCCCTTTGCATGACCAGTTCTTTCTCTTCATTCAAATTTCAACTCAACTACCACCTCCTCAAAGAGACGTTCCCTGACCACCCAAATTAAAGGAGCCCGATACCCAGACACTCTGCATTACTCTGCTTTTTATAGGATTTGTTACTAGATGATATGATATGTCTGGTTATTTGATTATTTGTTTATTGTCTCCCTCTTCCCTCTCTGAGTTCTAAGCTCTGTGAGGGCATTGACCTTATCTGTCTTGCTCATCGGGAAATTGCCAGTGCCTAGAACAGTCTTGTCTATGGGGTATAATCAGTGAATATTTGGTGGGTGGACAAATGAGGAGATAAGTGACTGAGTGATAGGATGAAAAGTGGTTGGCAGGATGGAAGGGTGTGTGGGAGGATAGGAGGGTGAGTAGATGGATGGATGGGTGGCTGGCAGCTGGGTCAGTGGAAAATGAGCCAGTGGATCAGTCACATAGCCCTCTGCATCCAACCCCAGTGCTTCTCGCACCGTCCCAGATGCTTCATCTCTCCTGCTGGGGGGATGCAGTAAAGCCAACATATTATGCACTAAGAGTTTACCTAGCCTGTGCTCAGCACATCACATCACCTCATATATTATACACATTACCTGTGACGTTTAATTGTCACAGCTCAGTGGGGTAAGTAGTTTCATGCTCTCAGCGTTATAGATGAGGAAACAGGAGCTCAGAGAGGTGAAGTTACTTGTCTAAAGGTTAGGCAGCTGGAGAGTGATGGAGCCAGAACTGGTCCCATGTCCAACTCCAAAGCCTTTACATTAAGCTTCACCACCTAAAAATGTAGATGCAGAGAGCAGGCAGGAACTGGTGGAAGGATGTGGGGGTGTCTCTGCTCCCGAGTCTTCAGACAATACCTTCCAACAGAGGCTTAGAGAGGGGTCAGACGCCTGGCTGGGCAATGACTGAGAGTAGATCCTGGCACCCCTGGGGACACTGTAGGAATCTCTGGGGAAATTGGTGGTTCATAACCCAAGTGGGGTGCTCAAGCAGCCAATCAGGAATCATTCCTAGAGCCCCAGATATAAGATCCCTAAATGGTGCAGTTAATGTGTTCAGCTACTAACCGAAAGGTTGGAGGTTTGAGTCCACCTACAGGTACCTCAGAAGAAAGGCCTGGTGATCTACTTCCAAAAAATCAGCCATTGAAAACCCTACGGAGCACAGTTCTACTCTGACACACATGGGGTCGCCATGAGTTGGAATCATCTCAAAAGGAACTGGTTGCCTGGGCACTGAGCTAGGAAAACCTGGGCTTTTTCTACAGTGCTCACTCCATCAGCCCCAGCCCCAGGCTTAGCTGGCTTCTCGGTATGTAGACAGAACCCTTATCTTACAGGAGGGAAAACTGAGGCTGCAGTAGACCCAAAGGAAATGCACCAATGCACCCAAACCTGTGAAAGTGAGAAGAGTATTGGACAGAGGAAAAACGGTCCCAGGCAACCCTCAGCTTGCTGGGACCTGAGTAGTTCTGCTGCCTGTGGCCACCAGGGGGCGCCAGTCATCAAGCCAGGGGGACCATCTAGGGCCCTCAAACAGTGTTTAGTAAAGGGTGTGTGCCTTGGTCCCTGGGTCACCCTGCCCTTGATCCTGCCTACAAAAGCAAAAAAAAACAAAAAACAAAAAACCTGTTGCTGTTGAGTCAATTCCGACTCAGCGACCCTACAGGGACAGAGAACTGCCCCACAGGGTTTCCAAGGAGCAACTGGTGGATTCAGACTGCTGACATTTTGGTTAGCAGCCGTAGCTCTTAACCACTGTGCTATGGCTGCCTAGGAAAGCTAAAAATAGAGTGGGATGAGGGAGACTTTCTCTGTAAATTGGATTTTCCACAGAGAGGATTATTTCTTGTGTAATTACAATTAAACTTAAAAGATTGAGCGAGGATATTTTACAGCCCTGGGGCAGGAATTCCATGAGAAGCCTGTGCGTCTGAGATGTGCCCTTAAAGTGTGTTCATCACCTACCCACAACATCTGGCACCAGCACCAGTGACTGGCAAGTCGATTCCGACTCATAGCGACCCCACGTGTTTCAGAGCAGAACTGCGCTCCGTAGGGTTTTCAAGGCTGTGACCTTGTTGAAGGAGACCACCTGGCTTCTCTTCCAAGTTGTTTCTGGGTGGGTTTGAACTCCCAAGCTTTCAGTTAGTAGTTCAACCGTTAATGGCACCCAGGGACTCCTGGCTTCCAGGTAGAGCCCTTTATAATAGTTGCCAGGTGTGAGTTCCAGGTGAACTGTGCACAGGGTTTGGCATCCAGATGTGGCTGCCCTAACTGTGGACTCCCTACATGGTGTGGCCAGCAGGCTGAGACTGCCACAGACACGTCTGCAGAATGGAGCTACGGGTGTGACTGACCCTAAGTGTGAGACCTTCCTCAGCACTGGTGCCCAGCACGCTCTGCCCTTTTGTGCTGCAGACATCCAGGTGTCTGACCTGCCCAGGCCTCAGACCTCTGGAGAATCCCCCAGTGAAACCTCAGCCATTACTAGGCCACCTCACCTCTGGTTCAAGGATGTCCACCACAATATGCCAAGACCCATTTCACGTGACCTCACACAGCCCCCTGCCCAGGTCCTAGGCACCTAATGCCCCTCTCCCCTCTCCTAGATTTGTTCCAGGAGTGAGGCTGGGCCTGGGGTGGGTAGTCAGGCACAGACAGAAGGGTGCCCTGGCCCAGGCCCTTTCCCTGCCCCCAGCAAGCTGGTCGCTCCGGTCCCTCAGAATCTTTCCCTTAGCCCCGTGGTTCTCCACTAGGGGTGACTGTGCTCCCCAGGGGGCATTTGTTGATGTCTGGAGGCTTTTTTTATTGTCATGGCTGGTGGTGCTACTGGTATCTAGTGGGTAGAAGCCAGGGATGCTGCTGAATATCCTACAATACACAGGATGGCCCTACGACAAAGATCAGCCTAAAATGGCAACAGTGCCAAGGTTGAGAAACACTTCTAGCCACACACAGGAGGGAGCGGGGGTGCAGCAACGGGGAGTTGGAAGTGAAGGGGGTGACAAGAACAGAGAGGAAGAAGGAGGGAATCGGAGGTGTGGGGGCAGAGAAAAAAGCCCTGGACTTGGGACAGATAGAGCTGGGCTCCGCTGACTAGCCCTGTGAACTTGTGCAAGGCACCAAACTCCCCAGCCTCAGTTTTCTTGTCTGTAAAAAGGCCACAAGGGTTGGACAAGAAGCTATACGTGGAGGAAACTAACTTCGGGCCTTGGCACACCAAAGATGCTCAATAAATGGAGGCTGGGAGTGTGAAGTCTTGGGGTAGTGAATTCACTTCCCCAAGAGCTAACTCAGCACAATTCTCAGAATGCCAAAGATGCTCTGGAAACCATTTCTTCTTTTTTCTCTCCAGGCAGGAGACGAGGAGTAGCTCGGGTGCCCGGGGCAGGCTGGGAAAGTGGTGGGCGTGGTGGGGGTGTCACGTACTCACCACTGTGGCTGTCTCCATCGCTGCTGAGATATTGGTAGTAATCGTGCGTTGGGCGTTGGTACAGATCCGCGTCATAGGGAACCAGGTCTTCCGTTGGCTGCTGAGAGAAGAGGGGTCAGGGCCTGGATGGACTACGGTAGGGAGATTTCAGCCAGGTTTGCAGCCCCCCAATATGTTGAGTCCAACCGCCCTCCCTGACTGAGGGGCCTCTTTCTGCTTGGAATTGTAGAGGTCAGAATCAGAGAGTGGGAGCACAGACAGTGGGGCAGGGGGCCCAGGAAAGCAGGATGCTTGGCTCCTGCAGGAAGAGGTGCAAGGAACCTGGAGGTCAGAGGTCAAAAGAAGACCAGGCCTGAGAGGAGAGCATGGCTCCTCCACCTGCCCAGCGACTGCTCCCAGCCACCTCACACTCACACCTGTGTGTGTACAGTCTCACGTATGAACCCTCTCGCACCAATTACACCCACACTCATAGCGAGGTCACTCACACACATAGACCCTAACCACACACACTTGTATACTCACCCTCCTAGTCACACAGTAACACACACATTCATACATGCACTTGTGGCCACACACAAACACACAAGCCATTGTACACTTGCCCCTGTAGGCACACAGACGGTCGCATGGATTGACTTGTGTTCAAGCCTGAGAACACACATATCCACACTCCTATGCTTGCACTCAGTCACTCACATTTCACTGGCATGCCCATCCTCACAGCACACGCACCCGCATCCTCTCACTGCCTCCCCCCAGCCCCCACTCTCTCCCTCTCACAGCCTGGGCCCAGGCCTCATGAGACTCAGGGCCACCATTCACACTGAGGGTCTTCAGCTTGGGGGCCTATGGGGTGGCCAGAGCCTTGATCCACTCGCCCTCCCTCCTCCCACCACACTGTCACTGGGATACTCCCTCTCCTGCTGCCCTTTCCCCTCCCTTCACCCCTTCCTGCCCTCACTCCTCTCAATTCTTTGCTTGCCTCCTCTCCTCCTCCCTGTCCCCTCCACACCTCTCCTTTCCCTCCTGTCCTTCTCCTCCGTTCCTTCTCCCCTCCGCCCTCTCCACCATCTTCCCTCTCTTCATCCCTCCCTGTCCTTCTTCTTCCCTCCTTGCATGCTTGTTCTCCTCCTCCTTTCCCTCCTCCCCCTTTCTCCTCTCCCTCCTCCTACCTCCTCTCCCTCTTCTCTCCCTCCTCCCCCTCTTCTCTCCCTCATCCGCCTCCTCTCTTCTCTCCTCCTACCTCCTCTCCCTCCTCCCTCCCATCCTCTTCCCTCCCCCCCCACACACACACTGGCATAGCATGGGAACGTGTACCCTCAGAGCCTTCCCAGCAGTCATCAGGCCTCTCTCCACCCCCACAGTGTGTGCCCAAGGATTACAGAATGGTTACTCTGGCCCTCAGAGCTTGGGTTGGGGGCCAGGACTGTCTTGGGAGCCCACCCTCTCAGGAGGCACCCAGAAGTGGCCTCTGGGGCTAGGGAGGGGCTGAGGGGTCTGGTGTGGGGGCCCAAGAGGATGCTGCCTCCTGCCTGGCTCTATGTGAGCACCGGGATTGAGAGTTGAGGTCAAGAGAGGGAGCCAGTGTGGCCAAGCCCCAACCTGTAGCTCTCTGGAGGCTAAGCGGCTCTTCCTGGGACAGCCTCTCCCACCCTGCCCAGCCTCCCCCCCGACCCCCGTCTTCTTGGCCCCAGGTGGAGAGAAGGGTGGGACAGGGTGGGGGGCAGTGACCGGTCCTGTTTGCGTCCAGCTGAGTAAGGAGGCTGGAGGCCCAGCTCTGAGCCTGACTCTCAAGGGTGTCAAGCCTGGGGTGCCTCCTGGGGTGCCTCCTTGGGTTCTGAGGTTGGGCTGGGCTGGGGCGGGGAAGGGAGCTGCCTTTAGGCCGGGAAAGCTGAGTCAAGTGGGCAGGCCCTGCAGCCAGCCCTTCCTGGCTACCCCTCCCCAGCCCAGCCCTGAGAAGGGTTGGGAGGAAGGGAGAGGTGTCTTCTAGAGAGTCCCAGTCTGACCCCTGCCTGAGGCTGCAACTGTCACTGAGGTAGGGAGCAGTGGGTATTGCCCCAGCCCCTACCCCAGTCCCTGCCCCAGCCCCTGCCACAGTTCCTGCCACAAACCCTGCCCCAGTCGCTGCCCAAGTCCCTGCCCCAGCCCCTATCCCAGTCCCTGCCAAGCCCCTACCCCGGTGCCTGCCACAAACCCTGCCCCAGCCCCTGTCCCAGCCACTCCCCCAGCCCCTGCCCCAGCCCCTGCCCCAGTCCCTGCCCCAAACCCTGCCCCAGTCCCTGCCCCAGCCCCTGCCCCAGCCCCTGCCCCAGCCCCTGCCCCAGCCCCTGCCCCAGTCCCTGCCCCAGCCCCTGCCCCAGTCCCTGCTCCAGCCCCTGCCCAACTCCTGCCCTAAACCCTACCCCAGTCCCAGCCCCAGCCTCATCCCCAGTCCCTGCCTCAGCCCTTGCCCCAGCCCCTGCCCCCAACCCTGCTCCAGTCCCTGCCCCCAACCCTGCCCCAGCCCCTACCCCAGCCCCTGCCCTAGTCCCTGCCCCAGCCCCATATCCTGCCCCTGCCCTTGGCTCAGCCCTTGCCCAGCCCCTACCCCAGCCCCTGCTCCAAACCCTTCCCCAGCCCCAAACCGTGCCCCAGCTCCTGCCCCAGCCCTTGGTTCAGCCCCTTGCCCCAGCCTCCTAGGGACCAGCGGGCCAAGGCCCAAACCCTTCAGTCAACACCAAACGTGTCCTCTGTGCCAGGCCCCATACTGGGTGTTGGAGACCCAGAGTTACTTCAACTTCAGTCTCCAGGAGCCTCCGGGCCACGGCCGAGACCTCTGGCCTGTTCACTCCTTCCCTCAACTCCTTACTGTCCTGGCGACCGGCTTCCCCCTATGCCTGTCTCCCCATCAGCTCTTCCTCTACCCCTCTGCTGCCGCCCTCACCATCCTCAGCTCAGAGCCCTACCCTGGAGCTTGGGCCTGCCACCCAGCCCATCTATAAATAACTGTTCAGGCCCCACCGATCACAGCCCCACCAAGGCCAGCCCTCAGCCCGCCGGGCACGCTTCGAGGAAGCCCGTGGCCCGCTTGCTGGGTCTTAGGCCAGGAGCTCCAGGGAGGAAACACCAACTTCCCACAGATAGCGAGCCAAGGGGCAGCTGACCGGCTGGTGGGCAGGTGGTGGGCAAGCAAGCAAGGGCCCCAGGCTGGCCGAGCGGAGGAATCCCAGTACTCACAGGGGGGACGAGGGGAAACCCTTCCATTTTGCACGCCTGTAACATCCAGCCGAGCTCCGAGCCAGTCGGGTCCCCTGTCTCGGTGGGGGCCACTATGGAGCCCCTCGGGATGGGGCGCCCCGTCGGGGGCTGGATGGACGCGGGGCGGGCACAGGGCTCAGGCCTGCCCCCTGAGCTACAGGAGCCCTGGGTGAGCCCCCTTCCTTGACATTGCAGGGCCAGCACAAGTTCCTGATTTTATCGAAGGGCCTGCCGCTGGGAGATAGTCCCCTTGGGGTGACATCACCACCGCCCCAGCCCGTTTGCATAAATCTCTTGCACTACAGGAAGTCTCTGGCCGGCTGGGGCAGGTGGTGCTCCAGGGGCTGGCCTGGGAGGCCATGGGGGCCAGGCCCCCTCCCCAGAGGAAGCTGGGACTGCGAGGGGCGGCCTTGGGGGCTGGGATGGGGAGGGGGAGGGTGTGAGAGAGGAAGGCTGGCTCTACCACAGGAGGCCTTTGCCGCCCCCAGGCCCTACTGAGGCTCTGAAATCCCTACCTCACGAATGGCTGCTTCTCTTGAGACCCTCACATGGCCAACAGTCACTTCCTTGGGGTCGGAGCTGGTAGGAGCAACTTTTTGGGGCCTCCACTTCCTGGGGTCAGCCTGGCTTACTGAGGGCTCTGATCTGACAGACTCCCCAGCCTGGCTCTTCCTGTGGACCTTGGATCCAATGCCTAGGTTCTGCCCAGGCTGAGGCTGGGCTCAGGGTTGGGGCCCTCAACATAGTGCTACTTTCTCCCTTCCCTCGGAGTTCCTTCACACAGCCTTCTCTTCCACCAGAGGGGGGTCCTGGGTTTTTACACTCTCCCCTCCCAGTTTCCAGAGTACCACAGCTTCTTCCAAATCCCTAGAGGCTCTGTTCTTAGCTCAGATATCTCTGTCTCTGATACCTTCCCAGTGCCTGAATTACAATCTAGTCTTCCTAGTTTACAAACGTTTGTTGTCTGTTCATCCGTTTATCTGTTTTCCCATCCGTTTATCTATCTGTCCACCCATCCATCCACTCATCATGCCATTTATTTATCCGTTTATCTGTCAATCCATTCATCCATCCACCTGTTTATTTACTTGTCCATCTAGCCATCTGTATGTCCATATGTCAGTCCATCCATGCTTTATCCACCCATCAGTCCGTATTTCCATATGTCCAGCTGTTTATCCACTTTGTATCCATCTCTGAATCTGTTAATATATTGGTTCATCTGTCCATCCACTCATTCACTCATCCATTCATCCCTTCACCCAATCAGCCAGTCAGCCACCCACCCAGCCAGACAGCCAGCCAGCCATACATACATACATACGTACATCTATCCATCCATACATACTTGCATCATTCTGCCAAAATTCACTGAGTTCAAGGCCCTGTGCTGCGTGCTGGGAAAACAGAAAAGTATTGGACAAGATCCCTGCCTTCAGAGAGCTCCTGATCTAGTCTGGAGGGTGGAGGAATGAGGGGCAATTAGTAGAAGCATTTTTGACCCATTGATCTCTGTCGAGTCTACTCTGTTGGGGGAGAACTGCTTGAACATTCAGTTTTTCTCCCCTGTGTAGTCTAACCCATTGCTCTATATCTCCTGCCCACTAAGACTAGTCTGCCATTTCCTGCCAGTGAAATCCCAGTCCCCCAGGTGTTTCTTCGCTGGGAGCAAAGGCCAGGGCTCACCATTAGACCTATTTCACTTCCATCTGCACTTATTTTTGCGTCTGCACGTGGAGCTCTAAGGGGTCCAGGTCACAAGTCCCCAGGGCTCCCTAGGGCCCTGACCAAAGCTGCTCCCCAAGAGAAGGGGAGAGATGGGACTGGTGTGTCATCGACTCCATCCTCATTCCCTACTTCACCATCAACAAGGCCCAGGTGACTTGATGTGGGAAGGGAGCATTGTCTACTCCATGAGAACCAGGTCCTGCTCGATGTGCTCATTCGTGCATTCATTATTGTCTTGGTTTGGTTGTTTTTTGTGCTTATTTATTCATTTAATCACCAGCTTTTTTTAATTGAAGATTTTTAAATTTTATGTACAAACAGTTTTTTTTGTTGAGTAGATGTCTTGGATAATCTCTTCAAGGGAGATCACTTAGTCCAACTTGATGACACCTATATCCTTCGTGTACTGATGGAGACACTGGCTGCACATATTGAAGCCATAAGTCCAATCAGACTATGCTTGTTTGAGCACACATGGCAAGAGCAGGAACCCTGGCTGAACTTGCACAGGTGTCTCCAGTAGAGCAGCTCGTGACACATCTTGCTTTAAGGGATGCACCACGGCAAAAGGCATTGCTTTTTATTAAGTGTCTTCCATGTGCTGGGCCCTGAGTTTGTTTGTTAGGTCCTGTCAAGCCAATCTCAACTCATAGTAAGTCCATGTGACAGAGTAGAACTGCCCCATTGGGTTTTCTTGGCTGTAATCTTTATAGGAGCAGATCGCCAGGTCTTTCTCCCAGGGCCTGCTGGGCGGGTTCGAACCACCTACCTCTCAGCAGCTGAGCACTTAACTGTTGCATCACCATGACTCCTTGCTGGGCCCTGTAAGGAGGTACAAACATGAACAAGGCATTCCCCCCGCCGCCAGGAGCTCACAAGCCTACAGAGAGAACAGACATGTCAACAGATAGCATGATTCTTTGTAGGGGGACCACACATAGGGAGGTGCTAGGTGCATTGGGGAGCAATTAATTTGGTCAGGGCCAGAGGTAGTAGAGTCTCAGCAAAGCATCCAAGGGAAAGGGCATGCCTGGCTGAGGAATCTGCCTGTGCAAAGGCAAGGAGGTGATAAAGAACCAGGGGACAGTGGGCGACCCGTCTTTGTGGCTGGTGATGGGAAAGGCAGGAAGCAAGGCAGGACAGGCGAGGAAAAAGCCTCGAGTGCCAAGTCAAGGACCTGGATTATATCTGGGGCAATTGTGGAGCCTTCTTGCTGGTTTTAAGCAGGGAGCGTGGTGCCCATCTTGGTGCAGACAAGAAAGCAAGTTGGCGGTGTGTTCCTGAGGCCTAAGCCTCACGGGAGGCTCCAGGGGAAGAGATTCCATTGTCCCAAGTCTGGCCCCAGCCTCAGGACCTAGGGAAGGAAGCCCATAAAAGAGATCCAGGGGGCGATGGAAAAATTGGGAACGGATAAGGGTGATAGTTGAACAATATGATGAACATAATTAATGTCACTGAATTGTACATGTGAAGATTGTTGAAATGGCAAATGTTTTGTTATGTATATGTTGTTGTTAGATGCCACTGAGTCGATTTTGACTCATAGCGACCCCATGTGACAGAGTAGAACTGCTCCATATGGTTTCCAAGGAGTAGATGGTGGATTCGAACTGCCGACCTTTTGATTAGCAACTGAGCTGTTAACCACTGTGCCACCAGGGCTCCAAATCCTTCTGAGTAGTAGGATTCAAATTCTAAGTAATGACAAGAAGAGCAGGAAGGGTCAGATCATCCACAGCCCCAGCTCCTTAAACCAAAAAACCAAACCCATTGCCGTTGAGTCGATTCCAACTCATAGCGACCCTACAGGACAGAGTAGAACTGCCCCATAGAGTTTCCAAAGAGCGCCTGGTGGATTTGAACTGCTGATGCTTTGGTTAGCAGCCGTAGCACTTAACTCCTACGCCACCAGGGTTTCCTCTCCTTAATTAGGAAAGACAATTTTTTGAGTGCCTACTGTGTGTCCAGCACCATGCTGGGTGCTTTCACCCTTGGGATTGCATGTAATCAACACAACCACCTGTTAAGCTGAGGCCCAAGAGGTCATTGACTTGCCCAAGGTCACATAGTTCTTGGGGGGTGATCTGGGACATAAAACCTGGCTTCTGGGGCTCTGGGAAGGGAAGAGACAGAAGGAAGAAGGAAGAAAAACTGAGACGCATAGATCTGGAGAGGGCAGGAGGGCCAGGGAAGGGGAAGGGGCAGAGAGAAGTGAGAAAGTAGGAGACAGAGGAGGGAGCCAAGAAAGAGGAGAGCACTGGGCAAGGGTGGAGGGAGAGGAGACAGATGAGAGGACGAGGACGAAGGGGAGGTGAGAGAGGGGACAGGGACTGTGGGAGGCTGGGAGATGATGGGACCTTATTGTTGTTAGGTCCCGTGGAGTCAGCTTCTACTCACAGGATCCTATATAACAGAGAACAACTGCCCTCTAGGGTCTTCTTGGCTGTAATCTTTATGGGAGCAGATCTCCAGGTCTGTCTCCTGCAGAGCCACTGGGTGGGTTTGAACCACCAGCCTTTCAGTTAGCAGCTGAGCACTTAACTGTTGCACCACCATGGCTCCTTGATGATGCTTTAACGGAGCAGTTACCCCAGCCTCCTTCTTCTGCAGCAGAGGAAACAGAGAGGCAGAGAGGGTCCCTGACTCGCCAGGGCTCACCAGGGGCATTCAAGCCTGGGCTGTGGCTTGGTCTCACTCTCATTGGCCAGAAACGGGCTTGAAATAAAAAATCTTGGGGACTCCAGGAAATGAGAAGGAAAATTTTTTTTAATTATTTTATTTTTTGAATAAGTAATACATGCACATGGTACAAAATTCAAAAGGTACAAAAAGATAAACAGCTGCCCAGTTCCCCTTCCCACAGGCTACCTGTGTTACCAAAGTCTTGTGTATCTTTCTAGAGAGGATCTAACCAGACATAAGCATATAGGCAGATATATAAGGATTTTTTTTTTAAACAAAAGGTAGCATGCCCCTTGGGTTTTTTTTGTTTTGTTTTGTTCCCCCAAATCCATTCCACATTCTTACATATCCAGTTCCAGTTGCCACTGAGTCAGTTCCCACTCATGGCGACCCCATGCGTGTCAGAGTAGAACTGTGCTCCATAGGGTTTTCAGTGGTTGATTTTTTGGAAGTAGATCACCAGGTCTTTATTCTGAGGTGCCTCTGGATGGAATCAAACCTCCAGTCTTTCAGTCAGCAGCCAAGTTTGTTAACTGTTTGCACCACCCAGGGACTCCCATCCTTACATATAGAGTTCATTTTTTCTTTTCAATGACTCTATAGTATCCCACTGTCTGGATGTGCTGTGAGATGCCATTCATATAGAAGAGTACATAAAACATTTATGTACAGTTTAAAGAATAATTACAAAGCCAACACCTAGGTAACCACCATCCAGATCAAGAAATAAAACACTGCCAGAACCCCAGAAGCACCACTAAATGCCCTCTTACAACCTTATAAGTAACA